CGTTCATAGGTCCTATATGGAAACCGGGGAAGTCGCACTTTTGATAACAAAAATACTGCCGTATATAGGGTTTTTTTAATCCTTTGTTGGTTTTTGGTAATACAAAAATTTTTTCAATAAAGTGTGGCCTGACTGCTGAATTTAAAAAAAAAAAAAAAATAATTGACTTATCTTTAAAATATGCTAACTGATACATTAGATATAATAAACATGCTAAAATTAAAAGAGGTTGTTCCCAGTTATTCACCTTTTATCTAACCTAGTTAAAATTCTTTCAGCAAGTCACGAGTTATTATGTCTATTCCAGAACTGAACTAAATATACAAGACTATATATTATATATATTAATCTTATATTATCGTATTATAAAATATTCAATATTTTATAATAAGGGTATAGAATTTCTATAATTATTATTAAATTCGACCAAAATGAATCTGAGTCTATAATTTCAAAATTTTCTCAATTTATTACTAGGTTTTCGCTAGCTTTTTGTTGACTTTGAGCATGAGGTGGTTGATAATTAATAGCAAGAATCCAAAAAAAAATAAAAATAAAAATAAGCTATAATTTAATATCTTTTCTTTAATTAATATATCTGAAGTGTCTATTTAGTTCTCAAAAGACTAGTTACTACTAAATAATAACTATTCCACTAAGTCTCTCTTGAAGCAACTATACTTTAATACTTATTATAAGTTGTATTTTGTTAATCACGTAGTTTTGCAATAAAATATTTGTTGTTTACATTCCAAAAATATGTAGCCAACTGAATCACTTGGTCCATTATGGTTTTTAAATCAGTTGATTCTTAAAGACCTTATCTATACACAAGTTTAATTGATAAGCATAGCATAGTAAAAATATAATATCTCTATTAATTAGTCTTAATCTTTGCCTAATATGAAGTAAAAGTAAATAGAAAAAAAAAAAAAATAGAATAAGGAATAAAATAAAAATACCTAGATGCTGCATATAGGCTAGTACTATCAGTAATGATCACAGAGACTTTTACATTCATATTTCTTAACTCATCAATCATTAAATTTGTTTTGTCTATTACTTTGATATGAGATTCTCTTTCTAAACTAATATCCATTGCTTTCTATACATATGGCTTTCCTTCTGAAGTTATTATTATTACTCCTAATAGTTGCTTATTATTTACATTCATCTACCCATCGAATGTAAGGGTAATACCTATTAAATCTTCTCAAAGTACTTCGTGCATTACTATATTATACTCAGAAACTGCAGCCTCTAGAATTTTTCTGCTGAGAGTTCAATGATCAGGAAGCTTAATGTGAGGATTTAGAAATTTAAATAATTTGTATTCTTTCAGTTTATTAACCTAGTTAAAGGCTTATTCACAAGAAACTATTAATCTTAGTAAAAGAACTCTAAATTTTTTATTATTTTGATTTGATAATAGTCTAACAATTTAATTGTCAAGCAGTCCATAGGTAGAGAATCACATAATAACTTTTTGAGTAGTTGATGATTGTAAAGATATAGTTGTAGCATCGTAAGATGAACTTGAGAAAACTATATAAAAAAAAAAAAAAAAATTACAAATTATTTTACAAAATTAAAAGTTCTTTTCTTACTTGATTGTTCTTCTTGGTCTTTAAATTGGCTAAAAAACTTTTCCTTTGCTCTAGTGTTGTTTTTTCTATAAAATTTACATATTTTTTAAGATACATAAGTATCCTATTCACTTTATTAGAAAAATAAATTCATTTTTCCTCATTCTCGTCTAGTATTTCAATATATGCTCTATAATAGTATTTACTATTAGATTTATTGAGTTTTTCCTGGGTTTTAATAATATATTAGTCTAATGATTTAGGTAATAGCATTATTAACTTAATAATTTATTAAGATATTTGCAGAATTTTGAGATTATTTTTTGGGCATTAGATTTTGTTTGGTTTTGTCACTAAGATTCTTATAATTAGTTAAAATATTTTAAGACTTAATGACACTCCTTGTAATTAAAACAATACTACTTTTTTTTTTTTTTTTTTTTTTTTTTTTTTTAATAATAAAGTTTTTGTATTATCGTAAGAAAGGTTATGATATCATTTTATTTTATTTTTTTTTTAAGGTTTGAATAGCCTACTAAACTTAAAATATAGGTTTTAATAAGATTTTGATTTCATTTTTTTTTAATAATAATGTTCTAAGAGAACTACAATAAGAAATATAAAAAAATCTTTTCGATGTTGATTTCTTATATAACTTGTAACACTTTATTTTACTATTATACTATAGTCAACTCTATATATAACGAACTGACAAGTCTTATAGTAAAAAATTTTCAAAAGTTCATTATATAGTAATTTACTATATTTTATATACCAAACTTATAATAAATTTAAAAAAAAAAGTTCGTTATATAGTGTGTTCATTATAAAAAGGTTCATTATATTCAGAGTTGACTGTACTTTATATATAATGATAACAAATATAAAATCATACATAGGATTAACAGCACAAAGGCGATTTTTTAAACATTTGCTAATATACAAGTACTATTAAAGAAAATCTTTGTTACATTCGTTATCTAAATTTACTGCTAAAAAAGCCTTGTATATTACTTGCATTATTAATTATATTTATCAATTTTTAATTAATACTTTAAAGAAATCTTGCGCTATCTTAATTTATAGCTTATTTTTATATAAATACTATTAAAGGAATTCTATTAAACTTTATTTATTTTACCATTATATGTACTATTTTAGAGACAATGTATATTCTAATTGACTAATCAAAAATTTCCAGATATTAGACAATATCCAGCAGATATTGTCCACTGGACATCTACTTCAATTAGACAATATCCAGTAACAATTTGTATTTTTAGACATATTGTGGATATGGATATTGGACAATGTCCTAACATGTCTATATCCAAGTAATATGCATAGATATCATTCATGTACAACACTGCCTTGAGGTGCCCAAATGCAATCTGCTACAGCAACAATTTCTCTCACAAAGACTTTAGTCTGCAGGTACAGACTCTAGGCCTCTGATCTATGAGAAGCTACTATTAGCCTATATCAAAACTACCTTATTTTGTTTTAATTTTTAACTATCTTTCTTTTTTCTCAGTTCTTATCTATATGTCAACTCTTTCTAATATCTCTT